ATGTTGTAGCTTCAACTTGTTTTGTTGTAGTTGAGGCTACGAACTGATCCCATATCATGTAATGGAGCAAAAAAATATCCTCATCTATGTCTGAAACACAAATAGTTTAGAAATCTACTAAATAAGTTTAATCATTTTGTCAAAAAAGTTTGGCTTATTTTGAATTTATTAAGCGTTGACACAGTAAAAAAAATTGGCGTAGTTATGCTAACCTTAATGTGTCCACCATAACAGATAACACGAGACTCTCGCCATGACCCCTTTTGTACATAAGGCTTGCCAGACTATATATGGATATTCTATGCTATGGTATTAGTTGTTGAATGACATAACGCAAGATGGAGAATGGATACTTGCATAAATTGCGGAATACGGTTTTGTTGAGAAAATAATTGCTTCTTGGTGCAATTCCAAAGTCACCGGTAAACCGTATTTACTCTTAATGTGCAGAATTTCCGACTCAAACTGTGCCATATTTTTTACTATGATCTGTTTACGTTTCCAAATAAGGCATCAAGGTCCTTATATGGCACACAAACAAATGAGGCTGAGAATGGAAGTAGGTATTATTTGAACTAATATGGCAGATGATCAAAACGAAAATATTGGATAAGAAAGGTAAACGAGATTTTACCACTATTTCTACAACGACTTGTGATTATTCCAGTATTAAATAAGAGGACTACTCAATTTATTTCATAATATATCAAAAAACATGTTCAGAATTTTTAATATTAGGCTAAAAAAAGAGCCTGGTGTGATTCACACCCGGCTGCTCCAGTAACACACATACTCATGTTAGTACCGTGTCCACAAAAGGACTAAGGTACTAATATTAGTACTAAAAGAGCAAGTGTGAGATATTCCTGGAATTTTGACTTAACTCGTTCCGATGTCAACCAACATCGGAACACGTTATACAGTACCGTTATTTGGGAAGTAAGACGTAGCAATAAAACATAAATAACATGTAATACGTCTTACATTGTAGGACTAGAAGCTACCATACATTTTTTCCACTACACCCACCCCCAAAAAGAAGCATGAAACAGCAAAATGATTTTTGACTTGTCGGGTGCAGAGCGATATATGATGTGAAAGGTAATTGTGCACATACAGCAGTTGATCCCTTCTTTACGGCTTCTTGTGCATATTCAACTTGAAATAAATGTCCGTCTGGAGAAAAGACTGTAATTGCACGATCATACCGGGACGACATGTTTGTTTCACTGGAAACCGGATATTAGTTGCCTTTGCAACTCCTCGGTCTAGCCTGGTTCCCGGCCAAGATACAGCCACACTGTGAGAGAAGAGGCCAGCCTACATCAAGCCAAACAACACGCTGATCCCTCGCCAACAAGTAAGCTAGAGGCGATTTACTCTCCTACGCCGACAAACTCCGAAGACACTTCTATTCCAAAATAGTTTCAAATATCTGTACACGCTACTTTGTTTATTATCATAACTTGCTAAGGACAATCTAAGACACATCTTGGGTGTAATTAAACTTAGTAAATTAATCTTTAAAAATGTGTTCCCATGTTTTTCTTGGGTTTTTGTGTGTTTGTTTTTTTTTTGCAGAAACATCAATACTTAGTGCTTTTCTGGCATTCTTTAGTTGCCATACCATCAGTTTGGGCAAGTTTACGTTTTGCAAAAACATACGATAGCTTACTTTTTTAAAAGTAAGAGTTGTGCTTACTTTAAATTACAATCAATATAGCAATAATATACAATAATAATACAATATATCAATTGTTTGCCTGAGAAGAAGTCGTATGCTGAATTTGTTGATGCTCTGAGCCAAAAGATTCGCACCACCGAACCAGACTGAGTTATACAGAGTTCAGCTAAGGAGTATAATTCTCAAGAATGGAGAATCTTTACCAGAGCTTACGAGGGATATTCGACGACTTGCGACTTTAGCTTACCATGAGGCGAGTTTTCTTTTGGTTGATGCACTCGCTAAAGAACAATTTATTGATGCTCTGGACGATTCTGACATGCGTATAAAGGTACAACAACCGAGACCCACTACGATTAACGATTCGGTACAGATAGCTGTCGATTTAGAGGCGTTCGCTAGAACTGAGCTACAACGACAGGGAGGAAAAAGGCATGTCCGTGGTGTGTCGTCGCAGAATGAGGAACAAGTGTCAGCAATCAGAGAACTGAGAGAGCAAATGATAGAACTGACAAGACTGGTCGCTGAACTTAAGACTGAAGTTATGAGTACCAAACAGTCGAGGAAAGTCCATAAGCGACGCAGAAACAGAAACTATGATGACCTTGCTTTTTTTTTTACGGGTGCGGCCAGCAGGAACATTTCAAGAAAGACTGCCTTGCTAAGAAGTCATGTAACAGCAATTCGCGACCGACCCCGCACACGACGAGTCGCATGAAATATGACAGGAACCAGAGGCAGAGACGCAAGAGGGATAACGTTTCTGATCGACTTGGAAACCGATCCTCGGATGCTTACGTTGGATTGTATGTAGCTGGTACCGTTCAAGTGACTGGTGTCGATTTCCTGATTGATATGGGTGCTTCAGTAATTATCATATCTAGAGAAGTCTATAGGAGGATTAAACCGGAGAAAAGCCAAACCTGATTCATGTCAGTCTCGTAGACGGTAGCCTTATGTTGGTCGACGAGAAGGGACTTTTCGAAGTAAGCCTACATGGTGTTCGTCGACGACATAAAATGCTGGTTATTGACATCCCAGCAGAGGAAATACTTGGATTAGACTTTCTTAAGTTTAACTCGTGTTGACTTAATGTCAACAAGAGTCATCTTTCCATCGGCAAGGAGAATTTATATTGTACATTTAAAAGGACAAGTTGGATGAGCCAGAATAATAATCGTTGAGACAGTGAACGTTCCAGCGATGCAAGAAATGATCGTTCCAGGAAAACTTGACAACTTGTCGTCTTCAGCAGTGCCAGAAATTGGAGTGCTAGAGCAGTACCAAACGTTTGGAGAGTCTCGAGAATGCAAGTCAGATCCGGGGAATTTGCCCGTGCGGATACTGAATGAGACTGCAGATAACCAGATGCTCAAAGCTGAGACAAACATAGCTCTCTTAGAAGAAGTCGGAGAGGTCTTAGACTAAGATAAAAGTGCGACCGTTCGTTGTCTTCGTAATAAGGAGTCTCAACCTCGACTTCCGACCTTTTTGGAAGAACTGACGCAGACATCAAAAGATTCATTCTCTGAAGTACAGGCAAGAAAGGTGGACAAGTTTCTCTGCGACTACCAGTCCCTCTTTTCCGCATCTGCTGATGACCTTGGAAGGACTACAAATGCGCAGGACAGAATTTAAACATGGAGCTCGAGACCAATAAAACTACCCCCGAGAAGAGTTCCGATTTACACCAGAGAAGAAATTGAGAAGCAAGTGAATGATATGTTGAAGAAAGGGATAATTTCGCCATCATTCGGCCCATGGTCGTCACCAGTGGATAGAACAACGAGGTTCTGAGTCGACTACTGTGCATTGAACGAAGTGACTGTCTAAGACGCATACCTAGGATCGACGAGTCGCTTGACTCGCTATCGAGAGTAACTTGGTTCTCGACTTTAGACCTCATGAGCGGATATTGGCAGGTAGAAATGGAGCCAAAAGATCGGTCGAAGACAGCGAGGTTTATACGAGTTCAATGTCATGCCGTTTGGACTCTGTAATGCACGTGTATGTATGTATGTATGTATGTATGTATGTATGTATGTATGTATGTATGTATGTATGTATGTATGTATGTATGTATGTATGTATGTATGTATGTATGTATGTATGTATGTATGTATGTATGTATGTATGTTTGTATGCTGTATGTATGCATGACCTATTTATTCCATTTGAAATGATCTGCATGCATATTCAGTTCTCTCTCTCTCTCTCACCCCCCACCCCACATTATTGATATTGATTTCAAGTGACTATTTTCTCTTGAATACAAAAGTCCTCTGATTATATTTTTTGATAAAGACATTCACTGGAATTTATACTGAATACAAACCTGGAATCTTACCTTTTTTATTCAACATAAGACTGTTGAAACATCAATATTCCATAAGCTATAACAGACACGTAATCGCCTTCTGGTTTTGGATGTCTTCGTGATTTTTTCTTAATTATATTGAGGACTTTAAATTACTAGGACTTGTGTCTGTAATTCTTGGATTATTTTGGAATTTATTTCGTAATACCGTAAGTTCATTTTTCTCGATATCACTTTGTAATCTAAGGAAAAAATATTTTTAAATTGTACAAAGGTTGCTGCCTTTCATTCTTTTTTGTTACTTATTTTAAAAGCATAGACTCGTAACACTATCTTCCTATTAATCTGCGTGCATGTGTAAATTTCTTTTCTCACTATATGTTCTTTGTATAGTGTACACTATAGATGATAATTCCTTGTTGTAAATTTTATTCATTTAAATTATGTGAATAAAATGCATCAACTAGGTGAAACATAAATTATTTGAAGCTTTAAGGAAATTAGAAATAGTCATTTAAAATTGTGTACTTTCGACGCTTTTTGCATTTATCGTTTTATGTCCTGTCTCTCTTTTTCGTTTGCTTTTGACAAGGACTCGAATTCGAGTCGAAAACGCAATGGTTTGTTAAAAACTAATTTTGCACTGTTCATTGTCAGCTTTCTGCCTATAGATGTAAAAGCGATATTAGTGAACGCGCCATTTTGTTAGTGGCAGCATATTTTCTGTTATAAATACTTCGTCCATCTTATGCTGTTCACATTAGTTATCACACATTTAAAATTTACTTCCCAAACAAAAGGAACTTAATACCAAGAAGATGTTCATCATAAACTTTGGAAAGTTCACATCCCTTTTTACTGCTTGAAAATGCAACTTATTTTAAATGCCCATTTAAACCCTGACAAAAATAAGTTGTTACCAATTTTACATTGTGAACGAAAGTCGTAATCGAATGTTTTAAAAGATCGCTCTGTTTCTCTCAATATTTTGACCGCTCCGTTGGTCTAGTGGTTAGAGCGTCCACCTCGGATGCGGGAGGTCGCTGGTTCGAACCCCGGTTGAGATATACCAAAGACTTACAAAAATGGTATTAACAGCTGCCTCGCCTGTCGCTCAGCATTAGGAGGTTATTGTTAGGTCTGGTCGGCCTGGTGCCAGGATAATGTGTCTGAGTGTCTGCGGAATTATGCTTTAGTGCTAGACATAACTGTAAAAATGTGACATTGCAGACATTATAGCTCTATGACTGATTTTTTTGAAGACACACACACACACTATTTGGATTTAACACACACACACACAGACACACACACACACACAAACATACACATTATATTTAGTAGATTATTTCAACATTTAATTTACTCGGTTCGTATCCTTTATCGTGCCTTACAAGGGTCTTCTTTAGTCATCACAAAATTTCTCAAAATGAATATGGAGAATATCTTGGGAATACATTTCAACTTGTTATTGGTTATAAATATTTAGTTTTAAAATAAAATAGCATGCTAGAAGAATTTTGTTCGCTATAAAAGACAAAAGTCCTAAAGGATTAAACAGATTTAATTGATCAAACAGAATCAACGGCATACTGGCCAGATAGCGATGTTTGATTGGTTGAAGGCCATTTATGACGTCAGTGTGAAATTATCAATCTTACAGTACTAGGAATCTTAGCTTGACACAAATTATGACGAACTTGTAAAAAAAATCATACTCAAATTCTAACAACTTGAATAGAAAAAGTGGCATAATTTTGCAAGAAATCTTAGCTTGACATCAAATTATGACAACCGATCCAGAAAACTTAACTTCCGCACTCCTAATTCTGACAACTTGAACGGAAAAATTGACATAACATGACAAGAAATCTTAGTTTCACTCCGGATTTTGACTTAGTTTAAAGCTGTACAACATTTCACGCAGCTCAGAGGGCATGTTATCCTTTGCGACGAAACAAAGTGGCCTTGAGTTAAGTTGGTCATTGTACAAAATCTAGGTATGGACAAAATTTGTAACAAACTGATGAATTAAAACTTGAAATCTGGTTTACTTTACACTCAGTATTTTCTGTAATTTATGAATAAGAAAGACAACAAAAAATTAGTATTACATACATTTTAAAACAATACTTAACAGAAAGACGGGATTTACAACACCTGATGGAAAGACACAAACTTTGAAAAAACAAACAAAGAAACAACAAAATCCCAACCTTTCGTAACATCAGGCAAACCGATAGCAGGTGCGTGCTAAAACTCTAAGATTTTGACAAAATTGTAACAAGCTGCTGAAGATTTCAATTTGGCTGATTTGGCAATGCTTTTATACTGTCTTGGTCTGTCTGTCTGTCTATCTCTCTCTCAGTTCATCATTTTTTACTAACATTTCAACACCATTTCTGCCAATATGTCAAGCGATAATATGCATAGTACAACATTACAATAAAAGGAAAAACTCTTAAAGAACTCTTAAATCTAAGACAAATAAAAGAAACAGCAAAACTATTTATAACATTGAGATGGGTAAAACCAGTGTTCACTAGCAAAATCGTTCTAACTTTGCATCAAAAACCCAAGAGTGTAGTATATCTAGGACTGGAAAACGAAGGCAAACCAGCATTGCATCTGTACCCATCCAATTCAGTAATGTGTGATTACAATGATAGGATTAACATAATATGTGGACAATATTGTGTGCATTTTCTTCGTCAACGTAGTTTTTTTTCGATTTCTCTTATAACATGTACCGATGCAAAAGAGGAACACATGCCAGTCAAGAAATAAAAAAGACGGTAAAAATAAGTAAAATTTGTCACACAAGGAACGCAAGAGACTATGTCTTAACTTTATTTAAGGTATAGATGAAGCACAAACACGCATACGTGTGAGCACACACACACACACACACGCACACACACACACACACACCATAAGACAGAATGGAAAGTGCTAACCTTGGATTATGCTTGGTAATAGTAGGCAGAATTAATATTTAATGCAGATAATACTTCCATACAACACCGACTTCCCTTTTGGTGATGTGTGCTTAGTCGTGATGGAATATGGACTGGTGTGTGCATGCAAGACTATGAGTGCAGTTCACCCGAAGACCTGGCTTCGAATCTCCATAGTGTTTATGGACAATTTTAACATTACATTTCCTGTAAGATCCAGAACAACCGTTCCAATTTTAAATTAAACCATTAAGACCCGGACACGTTAAAACGATGGTCATTTAATATTATATTTTCAGTTAGAAGTAAGAGAGCCCGGCCAAGTTAAATTCTGTTTGGAGGCCATATTGCCATTCCAATGTTATTACTTCTTATGCACCGTAATGCCATCGCCATGTTAAACCAATGGACAATTTTAACATTGCACTTTTCCTTGTTGATATAACACCTCATCAAGCAGCCACATTTTCACTGAAGTTACTAAACGACAGTGTCGACTGATGTATCATTAGATAAACTGATGTATTTTGTGTTTTCGTGTGTAATAATTTCTTGCTTTAACACAAAGTTTTGTCGTAGTCAGAATGGTTATGTACAAAAATGAGGACCCGCTGTGCACTGCTCTCCATCCTGACCCTTCACAGAAAACATGTCACTTATCATATTAAATCTGGAGACATTTTTGCCACATAAATACTTTATTATCAAATGTTGCAACGTTACAAGTCATTTTAACTTCATACAGGCCAAATGTGTTAGTTTGACAGTGTAGCATCATAGCCTGGTCGTAGATAACATTTTCATTCCTCGCCTTAATTGTAGACGACAAATGTATCATTACGTTAGCCAGGGCAAAGTCAGTGTAAGCAGGCAAAGTTGTAAACCTGGCTCACGTCAGAGTTTACTTCGTTTGACAATGTTGCAAAAGAACGCTGGTTTCAAGAGTATTGTTTTCAATCCGTGCATTGAGTAAGTTAGAAGTTCTATCACCATGCTAAGTCGTCTAGCTACAGTAGCATATCGTAATGTTTTAATATTTGCTACAAAGAAAACAACAAAAGCAAACAAACAAACAAACAAACAAATAAAAAATAACCCTCAACCATCGAAAGACGAAATGACAACAGCAAAATAAAATCAGTAACAACAATAAACACCCTCAGCCCAAAAACAACAACAACAAAAAAAAAAACAAACCCAAAACAAAACAAAACAAAAACTCAAAAACTTGTGAATCAAATTTGTCTGACTCTACGTCATATATACATACATATATATATATATATATATATATATATATATATATATATATATATATATATATATATATATATATATATATATATATATATATATATATATATATATATATATATATTTGCTGACACTAGATACCTGTTTAAGTGACAGTGTTAAATCTATGATTGGAAAATAGAAGAAAAGCAGTATTACAGCTGTATCTACCTAATTCAATAAAGTGCGAATGCGATTCAGTTAGGAGGTCCGAGATGTCGCGCTCTGCCACTTATTTTAGGTCGGAGGCGGTATCACCAAACTCTCTCTCTCTCTCTCTCTCTCTCTCTCTCTCTCTCTCTCTCTCTCTCTCTCTCTCTCTCTCTCTCTCTCTCTCTCTCTCTCTCTCTCTCTCTCCTTTTCCTTTTGTTACGAGTCTATGCTCGTAAAATAAGTAGCAGAAACGAGTGAAGACAACAAGCTATATAAAATTTAACAAATAATTTATTCCTCTAGAATATAAAGTGAAAAATGAGAAACAAGAACTCACGGTATTGCTTATTAAATCCCAAAATAATCCAGGAATTAAAGACACAAGTCCTATTAATTTAAAGTCCTGAATAAAATTCAGTTCAAATCCAAAAGAGATCCCAAATTGAAGGCGATGACGTGTCTGTTATGGCCTGCGTCATTACTGATGACACAACAATCACTTTGTTGAATCACAGAAATATTATTCCCAGTTTGAAGTAAATAGAAATTCTAATGAATGTCTTTATCCAAAAATTTTAGCAGATCACTTTTGTATTTCCAGAGAAAATAATCACTTGAATTCAATAATTTGAAGAAAATAAAATTCACCACTGGTAAAATCTTCACAATCACACGATAATTTAGTTCTCTGTTTGACCCCAGGTCTCAAATAATCATTGTCTTAAAACAACCATTACCTAATAGAAAATAACCATCTTGAATAGTCTAATGAGCCTTGTTTATTAAAAACGTAATAACCTATAAAATTCACTCATACTAATTGAGAATAATGCAGCTATTATTAGTTGTTTACATAAATTAAACGAAAATTTAAAAAAAACAATCGGGTCAAAAAGAACTGTACTCAATTTTGGACAGGGTGTCAAGACCAGTAAACAATGTTACATTACAATAATATGAAATGGAAAAAAAAAATAAAACAACAGAGAAACACATAAATAAAAAATGCATAACACTTTTTCTTTCCAATTTTCTTTTTTCTCTTTTTGCTTCTTTTACAGAATTTTCCTTAGTTATCTTCTATTCGGTACGCTAGTGGTCGTATTGCCTTTCTGATAATATTTCGCATGGCCCGAATTTGCCTTTGTGCCGAAAGCCGCTAATGCCGGAACTTATGACGTGTGATGATACATTTATGTGTGCATTATAGCAAGTACCTTAAAGGATGTGAACAAGTCTGACTCGTAAACATCCGGTTTTGACGGCGCCATTTGTGTAAAACTGAAAATTAATCGACAAAGAACATGTCCATCGCATTTGTGCAGCAACAGCAGAAGGGAGGGAAGGGGTCTTCCCCTTCCACTGCCAATATTCAAAAGGTCGAATATGTGAAAGAGTACCATCAATGACAAATTGGTCGTCTTGTTGCATTGTTTTAACTGTTGAACAGATGATGATTTGGTATTGGACAATTCGGCCCAACTTGAACCAAAAATAAGGCAATTCGGCCAATCTAGAAAGGCAGTTCGGCCCAGCCCAACTTAGCAATACAACTGACAGTAGTTTTAACAAGTATTTCTTCTTCAAAATATATGCTTAATACGTGAATTTCTGATAGGAACAGTTGGTCTGCACGTTTGCAGTTAATATCCTTTTTTTTAAAGTG